GGGGGGGGTCTCCTCTTCAAGCCTCTCCACGAGGAGTTCCAGAGGGAATGTTTTAGGGGCCCTAGGGCCACGGAAAACTTGCCTGGGGAGGCGCGCACAGGTCGATGATGGCCCCCTCCGCACCCTGGCCGTGCCCCTCACCTGTATGTGGAAGACGCCTTGTTGCTGGGGAGGGTCCCCCTGGGCTTTTGGTGGTGCCCCAGGAGAGCATGTGTCCAGGCACCCCTGCGGCGGTGGTCCCCTTGGCCAGGTCCTCTCCCGAGGTGGGATCCCAGGTCCAGGGGGGATAATCATCCTCGTCGGCGTAGCCTTGGGAGAAAGTGGGGCATGGATTGAGCCCTGCCCTGTCTCCGAGGTCCTTGCTGCAGCTCCAAACTACCCTTCCAGAATCTCCTGCAGTGACTCTGGGTCCCCCACCCCATCCCCAGTACCAGTGCAGGTGAGCCCCACGTCTTCCTCGTGGTCACAGTTGTGCTGGCCCCATGCCCCAGCAGGGCAGTCACTCAGCGAGGCCTCGATTCCCTTGCAGCCCACGTCATCCAGCCAGATGGGGCCCGTCCCGGGGCCGTAGTGGGTTTTGCCCACTCGGGGCCGGACCCTTCCACAGCCCAGCTCCCAGCAGGCCACGGTACTGTCCCGCAGGTCCCAGCTGTCATCGCACACTGTCCCCCAGCGCCCAGCATGCCACACTTCCAGCCGGCCAGCACACCGGTTGGGCCCATCAGCCAGACGCACGCGGAACGGGCCTGCCGGTAGAAGTCCCCAAGTCAGGAGGGGTCAAGAGGGGCCAGCCTCACCTCTTGTGTTCCCTCCACTCACCTGATCCCCGAGTGGTGCTCCCAGTGGGGGAGGGGGCTGGGTCTTTGGGTGACTCTGGAGAACCCTGTGCTGGGATCTCAGCTGATGACTCCTTGGGGGTCAGAGGGATTCGCGTTGCGGTGGCCTCAGAGGTCACCTCTCGGGGGCCTTGAGTGGTTGACGTTGCCACGGCCTTAGAGGTCTGTTCTCGGGGGGCCCGGGGAGTCCGTGTTGCAGTGGTATGTGAGGTCATCCCGTGGGGGACCCCAGTGGTCAGCTTTGCAGTAGACTCTGAAACTGGTCTGTGGGAGGCCTCAGTGGTCAGGGTTGTGGTGGTCCGTGAGGTCAGTTCAAGGGGCCTCTGGGTGCCCAGGACCCTGGAATGTTTAGTGGTTGGCATCACGGGGGGCTGAGTGGTCGGTCGCTTTGCGTTTTTGGTCACCCACTTCTTAGTACTCTTGGGCATTTTCCCTGGGGCCTTGGTGGTGGTTTTCTCAGGAACGCTGGGGGTCAGCCTCGCAGAGGGCTTGGTGGCCAGCTCCCTGGGGAGCCAGGCATCCGGATCTCTACCCAGGCCAGGGATCCAGCTCCAACTGAAGGGGTCTGAGATAGAGTCCAGGCCAGGGGTCTCTGGAAGGTGCAAGGAGAGGACAGGGAAGATGGCGGGCACCATAATGACAAGATTATCTGTCTACACCTCCCCTCTCTGCAATCACCAAGTTTCCGTTAATCCCTTCATTATTCATTCACTCATTCACGTGACAAACATTTGTTGAGCATCTTCTGCGATCCAGGCACTGTGCCAGACCCTGGGGATACTGTGGCCAGCCAAATCTGACCCCACCCCCTGCCTCCTTGTCTCGTACAGTGATGTGACTGGCCCTCTGTGCCCTTCTCACATCCGACCTGTCGTCCTCCTCTCTCTGGCCACGCATGGCCTCACTTCCTGTGACTTCTCACTGTCCACCTCTCACCAGTCACCAGGGTGGTACCGGATCCGACGGCTCACTCCCCAGCTGAAAACCCTGCCGTGGCTCCCACGGCCTCCAGAGGAGAGGGAAAGGGCGTAGGTGCAGGGGCTCCATCGCTACGACTGCCACTGTTCTCTCATCTCTCGGGTTAGCACTGTGTGCAGGAAAATGTTCACTGTGCCCAGAGGAAGTTTGGGCCCTTTGCCCCCCGGCTCCTGGGGCGACCAGAGAATTGGTACCCACGTTGTGCCGTGGACAGGTGATAGGTGGGCAGGCACAGCTTGTAACCGAGCTCCTATACAAACCCTGCACACCGAGGCTGGGGAGCGTCCCTGCCCGGCAGTACTTTATATGTGCTGTCACATGTCGCATGACTCCCCTGGGAGAGGGTGGCTGGAAGCTCCATGAAGGTCTCTCCTGAGCCTGCCCCCTGTGCTGCCTCCCTCGGCTGGCTTTTAAGACAGCTTTTCTGACTTTTGTGAGTCCTTCCAGGAAATTATGGAACCCGAAGTTGGTCTTGGGGACCTCCAAAATGGTAACATGTCACACAGGTTTGCAGTGATCTGTTGGTACATCTTTGCGTCAGTGAGCTGCGAGCTTCCCAAAGGCCGGGACTGTGTTCTTTGCATCCGGAGGCCCCAGCACCTGGCTCAGTGCCTGGCACTCGATAAATGTTGGAAGCGAACGGCGAACACGAAGCCTGATTTTACTGCAGCTGGCCCTCACTCTGGCTTCTGTGCATCTCCCAGTGGCCCTGTCTTCACTTCCTTTCATCTTGGGGAGCGTTCTTGGGAATGGGAGGAGGAGAAAGAATCCCAACTCTGCCACTTCGTTGCCGTGTGACCTTGTGCAAGTTACTTAACCTCTCTGTGCCTCAGCCTCATCGTGTAAATTGAGCATAACATCCACTAACTTGGACCTATTGTGAGGTCACGTGTGTGAAAACACCCAGCCCAGGGCCCGGGCTTAGGAGACGGGCATTCAGCAGATGCTAGTGCAGATGGTAGTTCCCATTCCCTCCTCCAGGAAGCCCTCCAGGAACTAGTGGGTGGCTAGGGCCTCCTTACCAGTGCAGGTGACTCCAACATCTTCATTGTGAGCACAGTTGTGCTTCCCCCAGGGCGCAGCGGGGCAGTCAGAGAGCGAAGCCTCGGTCCCCAAGCACCCCACGTCGTCCAGCCAGATGGGGCCGGCCCCCCAGCCAAAGCGGCCAGCGGCAGGGTCCGGCTGCCGAGCTCCGCCACAGCCCAGCTCGCGGCAGACCACCGCAGCATCCCGTAGGTCCCAGCTGTCGTCACACACCGTCCCCCAGCGCCCTGCGTGCCACACCTCCAGCCGGCCCGAACACCTGCTGGGCCCTGCCACCAGGCGCAGTTGGGGGGAGCCTAGGATGGAAGAGACCCGAAGGATGGGAGTCAGGAAGCCGTCCGGCTCTCTGTGTCCCTCCACCTGCCTTCCATCCAGCTGCATATTAGTCCTCCGCTGTGCCACCGTCCGCCTTAGGCACAGGGATAGGGTCGGGCACAGTCTCGGTTCCTCAAAAAGTTAAACATAGAATTACTATCCCACTCCCCAGGATATACCCCAGATAAAGTGAAAATGGCTATTCACACAAACGTTCACAGCGGCACTGTTCTTGGAAACAGCCCAAACGTCCGTCACTAGATGAAGGGACAGCAAAATGAGGTATGTATACACACAGAACGGAATATGATTCCACCTTGAAAAGGAAGGGAATTCGGGGGCACCTGGGGGGCTCAGTCGGTTAAGCCTCCAACTTCGGCTCAGGTCATGATCTCACTGCTCGTGAGCTCGTTGAGCTCGTTGAGCCCCATGTCA